TACCATCGTTGTAATTGCATATAAAACACCGTTTCAAATCCTAATAAAAGCTTTCAGGCCAAAGAGGTCTCCTTAACTCAAAAAAAAAAAAAAATTTAATTGTTAACATGATTTATATTGTTAACAATTAGAAATTCCTATCGCTATTCTAAATATATAATTGAGCTAACACTAATACTATATAAAAATACCCATCTATGTCACTACAAAGATTATATATATAATCTGGTTTTAAATTTATTTGCTATTATTAGAATTAATGATTGATACAATAATGACAATATTTGATTAATAATAATACATGTGATGATAAAAATAAGAATAACTATTTACATTTTCTTTAATATCATAAAATGTAAAATCCAAAACTTTGTTCATTTTGTCATATTATAAAACCTATTATTGTATTTCAAAGTAATCAAAAAACATGCTTTGAGTATTCAACCTAAAAAAGAAAACATGAAACCCAAATTTTAAATGATATTTGTAAGCAAAAAGAAAATGCTATAAAATCTGACATATAGTTTATAGTCTTATAGATATTAAAGAAGAAAGCAATATACATATAAATCTTGAGATAGTTGTAGATATTTCTTGAATAATTAGTGAATTAGAATTAAATGATATAGAGAAAGTCTTTGTAAGTTTATTAGCACTTGAGATCGTAAAGAAGAAATGGCTATTCATATATTTGCCATAAAAATATAATAATCAACAAATCAAGATTACTTCATTAATCTATTGGTATAATTCTCGCTGTAAATAAATATATGAGTAATATTAAACAAAAATTATCAAATATATTAGATTATTCACAACAACTATTTACGAACTTTATATAAGAAACCTACCTATAGCTATGAATTCAAAAAAAGAAAGAAAAAAAAACAATAATGAAACTAAACAGTGCAATAAAGAACTAAGAATCAAATATTATGAATAAGAAGAAACGATTATAGAGGAATCAAGTACTGAAGATAGTAAATCCAAATCAGAAGTTTTAAGAAAGTACAAAAAACTCTTCATAAGGTATAAAGATTTTATTTTTTTTATCATTACTATGTTTTTATGTTTATATAAATATATTTTATTATTTTTTTGATGCTTGAAAAATATAATAATTTTTCCAAACAAAAAAAATAGGATTGAAGTATTGAATCAAGCTTTAAGCCTATTCAAAAAATGGTGGATAGCATTTAAAATTTCAAACAAGCAAAAAAAAACTTCCAAAACTTGGAGTGATCGTAACAAAAACATATTTACTAGTAGTATTTGAAGTTTTATATGTGTATTAAAAATTTGAATTTGAATATAAATGCATTTAAATTTTTGAATTTATATAATCTGACTTAGAGTTTGCAGTGGTAATTAAGTAAATTGTAATAAATAATTTGAATAATAATAATAATAAAGCTTCAATTATTTTTTTTCAGATTGAAATTTAAAACCCGGTTATATACATAATTTTGGTGGTAATACTACAGAATTAATGCCATAGATAAATCGGCACCTTATTATACAAAGAACCAAGATTTGTACTTGTATAAAAATTCTGCTATTTTATCATTATATATAGTATATAGTTTAAAATTTTATATTAATGCTAGTTTGCTTATATAGTACAGCAGTATAAGAGTTTAGCTAATAATATTAGTGCAATTATCATTATTATTTCTAAAAGTATATTTTGGTTTACACTATCGTATACTATATAGTCCTAATAAAAAAATATTTAATAAAGTTAATATTTAGCTTAGATATATTCAATAATAATATTGCATATAATGTTTTTCTAAACTAAAGATATATCAATGTATATAATACAATTGTATACAGTACATTAAATTTTGTATCTTATTATAATTGGTTACTTGAACTTGATTATATGAAATGCATTTAAAGAGTATATATATATATAACGACCTAAAAAATAACATACATTTAGAAAATATAGAACATGCACTTATTTTATAAGTCCCAATATGGGACTAGGCCATTTTGATATATTTAGAGAGAAAATGCACTTAGAGAGAGTTGACTGTATATAATATTTTTCTGTCAAAAGATTTTACTATACAAATACCTGTTATTAAATAAAGTAAGTATTTACAAATATTTTGTAGATTTTTGATTAGAAATTTTGTATTAGATCTTAAGTCTTTTGCTTAGTATAGTATAGTACTATTATATAATTAGTTTAATTTCTTATACAATATTTTTTTTTTTTTGGCAATCCTGTCTTTATTATGCATAAGTTCCTAGCTAAAGCCAAAAACCCTTCCCTTTCTTTAATAAAAGCTCACTCGGCTGCTCAAAGATGCTCAGATACAATCTGCCATAGCAACTTTTTTTCTCCCTTCTGGCTTTCAACTTGCTAAAAGATTACCTATTAGATCCTTGGACAGTAGTTACTAGCCTTGTAATTTCTTATACAATATTAATAATTAAAAAAAAATTTATATAATACAAAATTTAAAATATATAAATATTTTATAAATTATTAAACTAATTTTAATAATTTTTTTAAGAGATGTGAAAACTTAGTGTAGTGGTCTAGTCATCACTCTTTTTAAGTAGCAGGTCTAAAGTTCAAATTCCACGAATAACAAATTTTGAAAAATAGACTTGTATTACAGTTGACAGTTATTGATTATTAGTTAGATCTAGAATCAAATTTGCAATTTTGGTTACACTATCTAGTAATAGGAGCTTTGATACAATAAATTTAAGAAAATAAAATAACCAAAAACCCATTTGGGAAGTCCTGAGTTAAGGAATAGCGGTAATCTTTAATAGTACTACAGAAGAGCTGAATTCAAACTAGGGCCTAAGATCAGAGAACTGAACAACCAGGTTTTAATAGCAGAGAACACACTAGCTGAACTGCCAGGTTCTGTTATACTAAAGAAAAAGGACATATACTCTGAAAGTATGTACCAAGAGGAGAGCATTCTTCAGGTACTTAAAGCCTGAGCAGACCAATCTTTCTGAGTTGCTAGCTAGAAGTAAAGGAGAGACCGATAAAGAATCTAAGTAAGAAGCTAGTTCAAATGTGGGTACTGGAGTTGTTGTGAATCTTGACAAAAACAAAGAATAAGTGATAGGTGACTAATTAGGAAGAATGTAGCTTGAAATACAGATCAGATTATAGCAGTATCCTAAAAGGTGGCTTGAAATACAAACTCAGTGATGGCAGTACAACAGGTACTAGTTAGTTGTAGGTGTTCAATAATTAGCCCTAATCTCAAGTATATAAATCAAGCTATAATATAAAGTTACTGAAGTCTAGATGAGATACATAGATAGAACATGTATTTAAGTAAAATAGTTAGTATAGCTATCTGTTAATCCGAAGAGAATCTTTTAAAGAAGTTAGGAGCTAAAGGGTAGAAAAACCTGTGGCTCAACAGCAGTATCCGAATCGAGCCAGCTCAATTAGGCTTATTGAAATTAGGAGTTTTCTTAATTTTGGCTTGAAAGGCTTGTGAGCTAATAGTATATATTACATAATACAATTTTTACTATTAATTTTCATCATACAATACTTTTTACTACAGTGTGTAACACCTAAAGACTAAAATAAATTTACAAAATTTAAAATGTTAATAGCTTATAATGTAATAATAATAAAACAAAAAAAAGACTGCCAAATTGTAGCTAAATCAATTAACTACAACTTGGTGACTTTTTTTTTTAAAAAAATTATTTATTTGTGACTTATACTGATTTAGAAATATCCAATTTTACATATGTTTTGGGGCAGAATATAAAAAAATATGACTTTGATTAACCAATCAATTTTAATTTTATGCTTATTTAAAATTTGATTAGCAACTAGATATTATGTGATTAAAGAATAGATCCAAACTTAGTACAATGTTTAAGTAGACAATGCTTTTGGTATGTTCTATTAGAAATAAAGGTATTTTTTCACAGTCTAATTTTAATAAGTATATATATTAAAGAAAATTTTTTATGCCCTGTACCTTTTATTTGAAAAGAGAACTGGTGTATGGAGTATGAATCTGAGGTATTTGTAATTAAGAGGCTTCAATTTTTTTTTTTTTCTCAAAGTGAAATAAAAAAAAATAACTTTCTTAAAATCAAAGTTTTTTAAAAACCAAATTTAAGTATGCCAAAACAAAAGTTATAAAACACTTCAAAAGTACAATAATAAACAAAGAAAACAAGCTGAAAAAAGGCAGAAGAAAGAGGTTAAAAAGGAGGAATTTGAGAAAAATTTTTTGGTGTTTTGAGTAAAGATAATGAGTCCAATAAAGTAAAAAGTAAAAAAGAAACTGAAAAAGAAGAAGTGATGAAAAAGAAAAAAAAAAAGCAAAAGAGTAATAAAAGTATTACTAAAATTAACATATTATTGTAAGTTTGGTGCTTCTGGCATGCTTGCAAGTTTTGCTAAAAGAACCCACGAAATTACCTATTTTTTTAAAACTGCAAGGTTAGTAAATCAGGTTTTAGTTTTTATATAATATCCAGATTTTTCCTTTTTTTTTTTAACTGCTATTGCTTACTGGCAATATTTTTAGTACCTCTCACAATTTCTCAAACAATTGAACTTTTTAGTAACTCTATATTATTTGGGTTTTCAGTAACTTCAGCTAAGTTTGATATTAAAAAAATGCTAACTTCAGTTGAGTTTGACAAAGAAATGACAACTTTGACTGAGGCTAACAAAGAAGAATTGGCTGAGTCTGATATGGAAAAAATATCTAGTATAGAAATATCTGGTGTAGAAAAAGTATCTGAAGTAGAAATATTTGATCCAGAAGAAATAATATTTAATATAGACAAAGTGTGCTTTACAAATTATGAAGCAATTGAACAACTTTGGAGGTGTCTAAAAAATAAACAAATACTTACTATCACTAAATATAATGAATAATAGTCAGTTTATGAGTATCTTGTGTGGCTAGAAGGTGGTGTCAGAAAGATGAAACTGAGTAATGAAGCTGTGTGTATTACCTGTATCTCTTCAAAACTACATCAGCAAAATATATTAATGTAATTTTACGTAAGTTATTACGGCCCGAAATATTGCGCAATAATTATGGTCTGGACATAATATTGCGCAAAAAGTTGCGAAATATTGCACAATAAATAACGTAAAATTACAAAATATATTACGCAAAATTGCAAAACTTATAGCGCAATATTACGTAATGTTTTGCGCAATATTTTGAATTAATTCGAAACAATTCGAATAGAGGTAAATGTATCAAAACAAAAAATATTTATAAACTAAAAGATAGCTACTAATTAGAAAGAAAAGCTAATAAATTCGAATTAATCAG